ATTGAATTCTTGATGGCTTCTTTTCTTGCCGTAATGTAGTGTATCGAATGACAATAATGTTCGCAACTTCAAAATGGATTTTGGGGCCAAAGGAGAGATATACGGTAGTGGGATCTGGACGCGGCATTCACTGACTTGCCTTGAACGAAGATTCGGACATCTTGCAAGGTGAGTCGAAATGAAGACGCTCTAACGAGAACCCTATCGACTGACTAGACTATTTACAGTCCCGACGAGGGGTCATCAGTACCGGTCATAGGGGGTATACGACAATGATAGTCTCGGTACCTGAGTTGTACTAAGTCTTACTGAATGCGGGGACTGTCCATCTCCAGTTTTTTTTTTTTTCGTTCGCAAATATTCTCATATGGTCGTTTTCTTGGAAAAGCTGCTCGAAAGTACGAAAGTAGATGATTTCGCGAACAACTATCCCAAGGTCATCTATGTCGCAATCAAGTGCTTGATGTAACAAGTAGGAGAAATTCAGCTTGTATTTTAATACGTACTGTTGCATCATATCTTGTATTTCTTCGGACATGATTGATATTAATGTACATGAACTGTGACTCTAGCATGTATACGAAAAAGTCATGGGTATCATTATATCTAGCAGAAACGATCGCTGAGCATCATTGTCATTAATTTAGTATTTCAGCTAAAAGAGCTGTTGTACTACGCACCTCTTGAGTTTCGCTCGCCGGTCGAGCAACGCTTCGGCAAGCCGTCCTTCCTTCTTGGCCTTTTTGAGCTGTATAGTCGAGATTGAGATGAAGACAGGTGTGTTGGGTTAACTGTACTAACCGCTTTCTTATCATCAACTGATACAACAGATTTGCCTGCACCCCAGGCTTGGTATATCTTGCTACAGAACAACAGGACGTCAGTAAGGGAGAAATATGGGAAGGAAAAAGAGGACACGAACTTCGTTGAAGCTTCGTCGATATTGGGGTCCACAGACATTCCCTCTTTCCGCTTCTTCTCTTCCTCATGCGCTTCCTTCTTATATTTACTTTGTATCTTTACCCAGAACCGCTCTTTGAAGCCAACTTCTTCGCTATCTCCTCTCAGCGATAGTTGTCCACCGGCAACCTCATCTACTGACAAGTAATTCTCGTACACGTTCTGGAAGGCAACCATACCATCCGGGAAAACGACTGGTGTCCATTCTTCTTGAGGACCACGGGCCTCTCTATCTGCGGACACAATTCCGTGTTTGTCACATGAGATAAACTTGCCTTCACCCACACCAGTCCGTATGTTGATTGTAGGTGAGCCAGCTACACGAGTGATGACCCATACTTGGGACACATCGGCGGGAGTGCGCTCCAGTATACTCGGTGGTCCATCAAGGTCTTCGGACTTGACATCCTTGTCTAGAGAGGACAAGACTATCCGCCCTCGCGTAGAGTCATAGTTGATGGATATAGGTGAGGGGTCAGAAGGGTGGAAAATAAAGGTTGGTCCACGAATCTCGTTCGCCTGCTCAGGCAGCACCCAAGTGTCTGGACTCTCCTCATCCTCCTGGTCTCTGCGACGACGCCTGCTGCTGCTACCTCCCGCATCTTCTTCATCGTCCCTCTTCCTCTTCTTCTTGGTCTTTTCCCCTTTGAATTTGAGCTTTGTTGATCTAACTTTGTCAGAGGACATGAGCGTAGATGCGAGACTTGGTTAATGTCATAAACGCCCGTTTGCCACCTGCTTCAAGCGCCTTACAAGCGCTCGAGGCGCCCAAAGCCAAAGTTGGTCAACGTCCGCTCGCCGCCTTACAAGCCCTCAAGACCCCTCAAGACCGTCGGCATCCCTCCACATCACGATGAAGTTCAACCCGGGTTAGTCCCTGCTGCTCTCATGTTCCATAATCTGCGCTCCTGGTGGTCAAAATAAGGGTGGATTGATGTGGGGAAGGGTGGATGTGATCTGTGGACTTTGGATGAGGTACGGTGGTATGGGATGGTTATGCTGGTGCAGCGGGGCGCGGATTTGGGACTCGTTGTTCATTTCAGACGAGATAATTACTGAACGTATGTTTTCCGTGGTTGTTTTCTATACTCACAGATGTCTCCTCTTCCCGGCGCAAGTCGCGCAAGGCGCACTTCGCGGCCCCCTCGTCCATTCGCCGTAAAATCATGTCCTCTGCTCTCTCCAAGGAGCTCCGTGCCAAGCACAACGTATGTTCCACAGATCGAGCCTAACTCCATGTTATTAATTATTTTATTTACTTTTAGACTCGTTCGCTCCCCGTTCGCAAGGATGACGAGGTCCGTATCGTCCGGGGGAAGTACAAGGGTCGGGAAGGCAAGGTCACCCAGGTATACCGTAAGAAGTGGGTGATCCACGTTGAGCGTGTCCAACGGGACAAATCGAACGGCTCGACGACACCCATTGGCATTCACCCCAGCAATGTTGTCATTACGACCATCAAGCTGGACAAGGACAGGCGGGCAATTCTTGACCGCAAGGACCGCAAGAAGCAGGAGAGCGCAGTTGAGCAGATCGACGTAAGTATATTTTAGGGCCACTTATTATACCATCAACTAATCTGTCGCACAGTGATTTCACCTCTCATTACACTACTGTCTTCCGCATTTTTCACTCGCTTGCTATTGTTTTGCATTCTTCAAAATGATACATGTATGTATGCACACGCAATTCGCACATGATACGCTCTTCGGGCCTTGAGGCGGCTCTCTGTATTCGAGTCATGAACTGAGCACTAAGCGTTTCCAGGGTCGTATTTTCTTCGCGGATAGATGCTACGATGACTGTTGTCATTCAAGGTTACAGATGGTATAAAATGCGATAATACGAAAGTCCGAATGTGATGTCAGAGGGGAGAATATACTGAAACTCTTAGAAAATAACGTCTTCGTCTTTGCTGCTGAGCAGATCCCCTCCACCGCCTCCTCCCTCAAAGTTGATGTCCTCAAGTTCTTCTGGGACGGCCGCGGCAGCATCAGCTTTAGCCTTAAGCAACTTGTCCGCTGCCTCTGCATCTCTCTTCTTCTTTCCCTGCACCTTCTTGAGCCTGATAAGTGTGACATTAGGCGTCCCTCTTGCATCGTCAATGGCTGAACTTACCTGAAGAACTCTTCACGATCCATCTCATCCAACTCGCTCATGATATACTTGATCGTATTCTCCAATCTTGGAATAACAACGTGCTCAATCGCGTTGACTCGTCGATTCGTTGCACGGATTACTTCGTCTAGAATCATGAAGGCAGTTTGTAGAGATGCAAGCTCAACCAGAGTCTCGACCGCTTTGGCATAAACTTCTTTAGACCGCAAAACTTGCTGGCCTCCTCGTCCGAGACCAGTGAGGTTGAAATCTGGGCGCAAAATGGATGCAAAGGATCATCAGCCATGCAGTGTAGACAAGGTATGTCAAGGAAGAACGTACCAGAGCCAGCTACTCGATCGACTTCAAATGCGGGGAGCACCACACCAGAAACATTCTCCTGTTTTGCTTTCACCTTGAACGAAGCCGACTTGGCTTGTTCTTGAACTAGGTAGGAGATGTCTCCCGTCGCATATGTTACTTCTGCAAGGGAGAAGGATGCGAGCTGCATCACTCTGCCCATTTTACGTTTGGCCTATATGGACATAACATGTTAGGCATCGTGTGCTTGGTGTATATATTATATACAGTGTGTACCTCGTCGACTTTCCGCAATATGGCACGGAAACGGGTAGTAAGCGCATCACGCTTCTTGGCCAATAATGAATGTCCTGTCTGTGCACCCTTTAATCGTAGTTTCGTGTTTGTGAGAGCCATACGTGTTGGAAAGATGTTTTCTCTCTGCTGCCCGGACATCTTGAGGTCAGACGTAATCTAGCAGTGAGAGGATAATGGTGGCAGAGTAGAACAATCCTGAATTATAACAAGCGCTTATGACGTCCATTACTGTAAACTCCCGTAGAAGGGTGCTCGCTATGATTCCCATTTTACCTAAAAATTGATGCTGGTTGTAAAATCTGTCCTCTGCTGCTGAACATGGTCCAAAGGCCGTTAACTTCTCTAATAAGTACGTACTTACATAATACATGTGCAGTGATTGTTTACTTATCCTGTCACATATTTAACCCTTGTGCTTAATCGCTATATATTACAAGCGCCGCCTCGCTTCGCTCCGGCAGCTCTTTTTATGAGGTGCACGCAAGCAATGTCAATGGGGTAGGCTAATGGTGTTGAAACCGTCCAAGTCATGGGCATAATTATCGATAAGGAGGGTAAGAACAGTATTTATAGTCGGAGTTTCAAAGACTATATCAGGAAATAATTACGTTGTCAATGGGTAACAACATTGGTCAGACATGGTTTGTGGTCTCGATCCCAGTTTAGGCCAGAGAAAATATTTAGTAAAAATGAGGAGAAAGAGGGATATGGAATGTCATTCGAGAAATATCTATCATTTACGGTCATCAGGACAGGAAACAAATACGATAGTGTGTAAGACACCATGTGAAGCGCCCGGGAGTGGTCTGGGGTCTCGATCCCAAGTAATGGTTAGTGTGCACTATTGGCGTGTGCTATTGGCGTGTGCTATGCGAAAATGTAGCCGGCAATAATAAGTATTGTATATCTGGGTGAATATTGTTTGGGAACCGGAGCAAGGTCCCACTTATGGATTAGAGTTGCAGGCATTGACCGGAATCATGGGCGGCCTGGCGGCGGTAGGGCTAGGTCTCGGGATTGAGCGGCCGGAGAAACAGGAAAATAGGTAACAATAAAGGATGAAATATCAGGAGAATAATGGGACGGGTTCCTGCGGAGACACACGGAAATTGAAAGATATAAAAGGGACTCAGGTCGGAGAAAGACTGGCTTTAGGATTCGGATCCCGGTAAGAGATTCAAAGTAAGGCGAGAGTAAGCGAGACGAGACGGCATAGCGGAGATTGAAATGTGAGATAAGACGAATGAAAGGGATAACAAACCGAGTGTATTGGTCGAACGACATCTTTTATATGTTAGTAATAAACGAATTCTCCTATTCACGTAGCCGGGATAGCTCAGCTGGGAGAGCAGTAGACTGAAGTTGCCGACAAATGCATTCTAAAGGCCGCGTGTTCGAGCCACGCTCCTGGCATTTTGCACATCTTTAATTTTGGAGCCACTCAAGAATGTTTTTAAGCATAGGAAACACTTGTGAAACTTTGGAGGATAGATGGCCGATACATTGCCAAGTTCCCGCTGCAATGGGCAGAGTGATTGTTTTGGCGCTTGTCTTTGCTAAATTTCGAGTGCGCGGTTCACTTGTACTACCTGGTACTTTCCTCCTCCCCGCCACCATGCGTATCGAAAAGTGTTATTTCTGCTCAAAGAGCGTATACCCTGGACACGGTATGTCATGTCTGTCTGCTTTTTTGACCCTTTCTCATAAATAAGCAGGAATTGGCTTCGTCCGTAATGATGCAAAAATGTTCCGCTTTTGCACTTCAAAGTAAGCAATGTCCTCTCTCATAAATCTCTGTTGCATAGCTAACGACTGTTTTAGATGCCATAAGAATTTTAAGTGGGTCCAGTGTGATAGATTGTGTGTGATTGACATTGCTGATCATGCTCCAGAATGAAACGCAATCCTCGTAAAGTGAAATGGACAAAGGCATTCCGCAAGGCGGTAGGCAGGGAGATGTCTATAGTATGTAGGCCTTCGTTTTCCTTGGCTTATCTTTAATTTTCTGTGCACAGGATCCTACGTATGGCTTTGAGAAGCGAAGAAACATACCTGTACGCTACGATCGCGAACTGGTACAGACCACAGTCAAGGCCATGAAACGTATTGCGGAGATCAGGCAGAAGAGAGAGCACTTCATCTGGAGAGCCAGGATGAGAGTGGCAAAGGACAAGCTCACAGCACACAGGAAGAAGAAGAGGCAATTGGAGAAAGCTACGTCCGTGAAGCTTATCGAGCCTGTGGCCATGGAGTCAGAGGAGCCGGAAAGGATAAGGGAGAAGGTCAAGGTATCTGCAAAGTCGCGCAGTGCGCTCATCCCAGGGGAGGGTCGGTCAATGGGCATGGATATCGATTGAGCCCCTACTTCCTGTTACTTCTTTCTTTTCTCTCAGCAGTGTGCTCTTATGTAAGCGTATGAAGGTATGCATCGGAATATGTGTACTATTATACATAATGCGGTGGGGTGATATTACAAATGTGTCGCGCAAAAACATGCAGTGAGTATATCTACCCAACCATATATTAACGCTGCTTGTACTTTGCCTCGTTCTCAGTGCGAACATTTGGATCTAGTGTGTTGTGCAAGCCTAGTAGTGTCTTACTGACTGCCTCACTGACACCAATCATCGGCCTCAAAATCGCGATTGGCACCGCCCGCACAACAGCTCGCACCGCACCCTGTGCGACACAGATACATGAGAAAAAGAACACGAATTATGAAGGGTACATCACTTGCCTCGTTTCCTGACCGTTCGTATACTTCCATAGGCACCGCAAGGATCGTTTGTGCCGCAGAAGTAAGGTTCCGCCTCATGCTCGTGTATGCAGACTTCACTCCGTCCTTCACCCCAGTGGGTTGATCAGCATATCGACTTATCAAATCATCGACATCTGTGCCTTCTGTGAACCCATCGTCCGCCCCTTGTACTCCTGCAGGAAACTGCAAAGCCTCGGTAGTGACCGACTGATCAAACTGACCACCAATGATGTTCTCCGCTTGCTCGAGGATGACCTGAGTGCCCGTTGCTAGTCGGGCACCCATCTTAATGGCTTCCGTCGCGGTCGATTTGACGAACGCTGTAGTACCTTTCTGAAGCCCACGAACTACACGGCCATCTTTCTTGTACTGGGCAATGGGTAGCAGAACGAGATCCGCAACACCAGACCCAACGTTAACCACCGAACGGATGGGAGCCACACCTGATATGACTTCCACCAACTGAGTCGCCTTGACATCTGGCGTCCAAAGGTCGTTCAATAAGTCACCTAGTCTCGCCCACCCGGTGATCTACACAGTCCTATTCGTCACCTCAAAAGATTCGCAGGTATCAAACAAACTCACCCCATTCAGAGTTATGTGTCTCAAGGTCATCTCGGAACCGTCAAAATGGAAGAAGTTCATGAGCTCGATTGTTTTCCCCTCTCGCAGCGCCCGGTAATCTACTCGCCGCGGCTTGTAATCAAGCTTCAAGTCCACTGGGAAGACTTCCGCTTGTTCTGAAAGGACAGAGTAATTTTTTCAGACATGATTCTAACAGCAAACTTGAGAGCTCACGGAAAAATATCTCATCAGCAGGATCAGAAGGGGCGGACGGTGCTGCATCCGGGTCTTTAAAGCTGAAGAATTTCTTCATAAAGTCGAGTGCATCTTGATCTACATGTAGTCGGAGTGGTAAAATCTTGGCCTGGAACCAAAGGTCAGATGTCGAATGTCAACATAAACCACCAGAATTAAAACCTCACCCTAAGTCGTGCCTCTTGAGCTAAATTCCCGGAGACAGGATAGACTTTACGCAGCTCCACACGAACCATGTTAGACCCAGTCTCACGAATATTGCCTCGAGAGTCCATGTGAAGCGAAGTTAGAAATTTGCTCCATGTCGAGGTCTTGATGTGATCAAGGATTTCGGCATCTCGTATGGTGACTAAGATCCTGGAAGCTAGTGACTCATGAGAGCGATAGTTGTCCACTTCAGCTATAAGTCCCTCCAGCCTGAACTCTATACTAGGACCTTTAGATCTCGTCCAGCTCCTTTTTGCACGCTTTAAGCGTTTCTCGGGGGACTTGGGAGATGTGGGCTGTGGCTTGAGAGACTGCCATGAGCTCTGGCTTGCGGTCTCGAGTTCCTCATTTAGCTCTTCATCGATAGCTGCTATCAGCGCACCAGGCTCCAATTCATCCACGTCGTGTTGAAGTCCTATGTAGACAGAGTTGAACAGCAGCGTATTGGTCTCTTCCACTGTAGGATCGGGAGTTTGGCCACTAGCAACTAGCTGCCTGATCTTGGCCAACCTGCGTCTCATTTCCTTGGCCTCTTCTTCGATGATTTGCCTAGTCCTAGCCCAATCATACCCGTCGTAAAGGAAGACGGTAACGTCACAATCGTGGCTTCGAAGTTTGAACGTCGTTTCCCCATATCTGTACACTCGTGTCAGCACAGCACAACAGTAAAATAGGAAAAAGCGTACTGAGCTGACTCGTCATTGGCCTCGGGAGGCAACGTCTCATAGTAGTTCTCAATCACCTGTAGACCCTTCGCATCAAAAAGCCTGATAGTCTCTCCTCCATATGCAGAGAGAAGGCCGGTCTGATCGACAACATTCACCGACATTTCGTCGTCCATGTCAAATTCATCAAGTTCACTGTCATTGAGCTCGCGCAAACCAGCAGCTGCGCTGAACGAGTCGTCGAGGTAGTCGAGATTTGTTGGGAGATCATCATCCACCATGTCAGGAGTCGCGCCAACCTGAGGTATTGTTCGTCGAAAAGCGTGCTCATCGAGCGAGGCTATGTTAAGGTCAGTACCGTAAACGAGCAACCTGTTTGAAATGCTTACCGGTGAGATCGACTTTCTGCCTCTGCTCAGGTTTCATCTCAACTGCAGGCTGGGACCGAGGTCTAGAAGGCTCAGGACTAGAGATATCTCAGTTACGCTCAGATGCCAAAACGGCTGTACTTACGTTTCTGTAGGGCTAGAAAAGATAGAGGAAAAGTCTGCAATAAAACCACCAAGTGCGGTTCCAGTGTCAGCACATAGATGTAAACGAAGGTCACCCCGAGGGATGTCCATCTTTATAAGGTCAGCATCGATTCTAAGTGAACACTAAAACAACCCACTCTAATGTCTGCCGGTGTACGATCGTCTCTCTTGGAGAATGCAAGTTCTAGTCCGGATAGCTCAGCCACAAGAGCGTATCCGAGACGCTATAAAATTATAAGCATCGCACAGTCCATAACGCAAAAAATGAAGCCACGCACTCTCCAAACTCCTCCGCTGGAACGACCGATTCTACTCATGGGCGCGGCTTTATTGGATGATGAAGTAGATTCGTCCACGGAACTTAGATCATCTAGCAGCAGCAGAGACACGGTCTGGAGCCCCACGGTAAATGATGTTTCAGGAAGGGCCCCGACCATCACGCTTGAGTATTCCACTTCTCCGAGATGAAGAACAAGGGATCCCGGGTATTTTGGACACAAGCCTTGCAATGAACTATCCACGACCTTTATTGATAGACGAGTTCGTTCGCTGGGCACCACAGACTCGAACACCTGGAGTTGTTATTCATTAGACAGCTCAGGACATACATATGGTCGATAACTCACCCCCGGTGGTGCCTTGACAAACCGCGTAATGTCTGTTATCCAGTCGAGATTGGGATACAGAGTGTATGTTGCTCCGCAGATTGTTACTTTTATTCGAGACTCTTTTGCCGCAGAATCTGAGACAACAAGGGAAGTAAAACGTAACTTCAACAGAGGTTGCACGTTGTTGACCTAGAGATTCGATAAGAGAGTTTCCTGCGAACAAAGATGGAAGAGCACACCATGTTACGAGGAGTGGTCGAGCTTAGAAATACGAGTACTGTATTTGAGCTTGATGTCTCCCGCACACACAAGTCTCCAACTCCTAACGTTACAACGGTCTCATCCTGTGACGAGTAAATAAGACATCATTTATCCATAAGCTAAGAACCAACCTTGCCCTCTGGCCTCAACTCCAACAGTAGATCGATGTCGGAAGCCACAATGTTGAACGGACGAATACCAGTCTCTCTAGGCAGCGCGATAGTGATAGCAACTGCCAACCGACATTGTCAGAAATTTACTCAACAAAAGAAGTTTGACGCTAGCGTACCTTGGGAGATAGTCAGCTTAATATCAGTCTCGGAATCCGAGCTTGTTTTCGGCGCTGTAATTGTGCTTGCAGCGCTGTTGGCCTCGCTGCCCTGACTGCGGCGGGATTTAACGAAGAAGCGGCTTCCAATGAGGCTTGGATCCTCCTCATCTCCCTCTCGAAGATCCGCGCCTGGATGCATGGCACGTTCTACCAACTGGGAAATATCATCCGCCCATAGCTGTAATCCGTCTATCTCCATTTTTCCAAGGTGTACATGGACTGAAGGAATAT